TGATTATTTTAATTTCAAACAAACAGTGACACGCGTTCTCCGGGCGCGTTCTACACTGACACGCGCTGCTAGGGCGTAACACTTTAATACGAAATAATAAAGTATGGAACATATGTAATAATAACAGAACATCCACACCCTCCCCGTGGCTTTCGTTGCGTATGGAAGTTATTTTCACTCGGTGTATTCTGCTGTACTTTCACTTTCACATATACACGAGCTCAAATCAAACAGCAGATCTCGAGTCTGACATCGTATACAGGTATATATAATAAGAACCTAAACTTTCTAGGTTTCTAAATTTTACACACATTGTTATGATCTATTTTCAAATAAGTTTAACGTCATATGCAGTTGAGTATGGTACTCCAATTCAGGACTTGATTGACTTACATGGCATGACCTGTTTTCTTCTGAAAGGCGGTGGTCGTCGCGCAGCGCGTGTTAGAATTTCATGTAAAGCGTTCAATACAATTTAACAAATAAAAATAAAAATAGCTGGGGCAAATCGCTGATAGACATATTTGTTTACATGGATTTGCTTTAGGCTGGTATTTAAACTTGTATTTAAACAACGATGCAAAGTTATAATTCTACAAAAGCGACATGGCGAGATTTGTAGTATTAACAGACTGGGTGTAATCTCCCATGTCTAATTTACATTATAGAAAAAAATAAATAAAATTTAAAATACATATAACGTATAAAATGCACTTATGACGGTTCGCTTGTTTGCCCACAAGCCCAATAGCGGACGTGGTACGAGACAGGTTAGTCTTGCTAGAAACTGATCTTAGGTCAAAATATGTACTATCACGGATTATATAACAATCCGAAAGACCCGACCACGTTAGAAATTTTTTTTTTTTTTTTTTAAGAGACAAAAAGAAATAAGTATTTCGCACGGTCGTTTTTTTCATACCATACATTGTAACATATTGACGATCCATTACCAGACAGGATTTCCTTAATTATAATCACTATGTCCGTCCAATGTCTGTTTGTGTCCATACACACACACACATTAACTCTTCTGTGATTTTGTGTCTGGGCCGATTACGTCCAAACTAGGATGGCAACTCTCACATTTACTCGAGTTAGGTGAAAAACTCAGCAAAACATCTTTCATCATCGCTGTCATGGCAACAACCGAAAAACTACTGTTGCGTCAAACTTTGAATCTTCCTTGAGTTTGTGCAGCAAGTCACCGGTTTGCGTTTTTAGTTTTAGAAATTATTATTTCCACTGGGTAGACACAATGCTTGACATGTCAACATGTCACATCTTAATTAGCATTGCGTTACAGTCACAGCCAACTCTTCAAAGCTAATAAAAAAACCGCAAACTATCAGATGCGGATTCAGTGCTAGTCCAAATAGTTTACGTTATTTATCCTCAACTTCCATTGGTTAAAACAACTATGTTACGAATGGCCTCCACGATTTTTGTCTTTCAATCAAAGTAATTTTCTGAAGTCGCTTCAATGTAAGTATTGTCACCTTTTGCAGAAATGGAATTCACTCCTGAGCTAGTACCGCCAAACTGGTTGTCGGTTAAATTGTTTCGCAACAGACGCACTTTTAGGGCCAGTATAATTATATGTAATATATAAAAAAAGGACGACTGGGCGTAATGCACAAAACAAACTCGGTCATGTCAAATGGCGCCCTCAAACAGCAGTGTAGTGTATAAAATATCAAAATAACCAAGGAGTCGTTGATGTTGATTACGTAACCATGCCAGGAAAAGGCAAATTACAGTTCTATGTGATTGGTTTGCGATTCTAATGATACATACGTATTTTGATCATGCTCGATAGGGGGCGAACCAACGTCAACACACATCAAATCTTACTACTGTAAAATTTTTACTGGGTTTAAATTTCGCTGATTTACCATTTCAGGCATCTTCAACGGGTTTTAAATTTACGGTTTCATCATTTTTAGATAGTTTGTTCTATGCTAAATTTTACATATTCACAGGGTTTTAATTTAGCGAAATAAGCAAAATTAAAACCCAGTGAATAATTAATCCTTTTACAGTATGTGTTTACAATAACATGAAGCATATGTAAGATGTACCTTGCGTGTCGCTGTATAGCAAAATAATACAATGAAGGGTTTAATAGTTTGTTCATTTTATGACTATGTAATTTGTCTTGGTATTTAAGACGTCATTTCGTTTTAACTGTTTCTTTTCAATCGCCGTCCACGAACAAACCAACACACGAGTTTATATTAGTTTGCGTCAATCGGAAATCCTAAAATGGTCACCCATAGTCCGCGTGGGAACACGTCGAGTTTAGGTAATTGATTTCGGTATTATTCGCCGGCTGTACGGATTTTCTAACACGCTTTGATGGTGGAAATCCCACGATGTGTACTCTTTCTTTTGCTACTTATCAAAGACATTACAAGCGACCCGTTACAAATCTGACAGTCGCCATGGCAACTTTACACAACAGTATTGTTTAATTACGCACGGCCGCCTGTTTAGTGTTAGTATTGTTGTTGGATAATAGTGCCTTCGATACACGACTGGCAATGGAGTGAATTATTTCTGTTTTATTTTACGGCTTCATTTCGGTCGATCATTGTAACTTTGTATCACGTACTATGTGCGAATAAAGCGCTCTGGTGGAGTAGTGAAATTGTTGGAATGGCAAAGTTTATAGGTGAAATATGTGTTGAAGTGCGATATCTTCAGTCAAGCAGACCACGTCACGTGTTCTCACTGAACTGACATGTTTGTCTGAGTGTGTATGGTTTCCACAACCGAATTGACACGTGAAATATCAATCGAAATTCAGAGTGTTGTTGACAATACACTTTTGACGTGCCTATTAGGCATCGACTCGGTGAGGAACGTTTGCTCTCGGGGTCAGGTAACATGTGACCGTCTCGTGGGTTAAAGTTCACCTAGTTACCGTGTAAATCATGAAAAAATTCGTCAATGTGCACGCATTGTTACACTAACGTTGGGCAACAATCCAATGACAGGCGTGTGTTTACACTACGCAGTAAAACGCAGCCAATACAAACACAAGGGACGACGCGTACGGTGCGGGCTTATCAACCGTAAGGTTGACATTCTTTAGAGCTCGACTCTACCTGCGTAGTGCTGTTACACTCGAACTACCGCAAACTGTTCAACGCCGACCATAGATTAACATCTAGAATTCCGCTACTGCAACGACCGATCGAGTTCGCGTGATTGACGCGAGGTAATCGACAGGATAAAATACCGCGACCAACTTGTTTGAAGTTAATTCGTGCTTTCAACCTCAGACTCGACGGTTCGCTTATAGTCGCGTTCAGTGGTGATTATTAATGAAAACGCTGGGTATTCCTTTTAATACGTGGTAATCTCACCGAGCCTTCCAGCTATATGAAGAAGCTCTCCATCCGGGGACCGAAACTCCGCAAAGAAACCTCACATACTACGATATAGTGGGAAGATACTTCAGGGATTACCAGACTACATACTTGTTTGTAATCAACAATCTTAATTACTATGAAATATACAATATTGTCACCGGTCACGTGAGCCAGTAATTTTATTGTTATGCCGCCTATGACGGAGAAGATAATAAACTCAACAATGGACGTGAGACGTTAACTTTTACATGGTTCTTATAAAGCTATTCGGCTTTTGGAGATCGTTCAAGTGTTTGTTGGGCTACCAAGGTTTATAATAAGCAGTCGGGGCAGTGATCGAGGTGACGTTGACAACGAACGAGTATTATTTGCACATGCATTATATGGGCGACTGAGGTGAGTCAATTTTAGGGGAAATGTCAACCAAAGTTCGACCCGGGGATTACATCACTCGTTATAAATGACCTTTTTGTCAAGCGGAATTTATCAAAACAATGTATTTAAGAACGTCGAGATAGCAACAGGACAACACAACAATGGCGATCTGAGAGGAGTTGGGTCCGCGAATAAATGTATTATTTTAGATACGTAGAATACTACACGTGGCGTCGTAAGTATGTTTCGTTTTTTAATTAGACTAATATTTTGTAATCAATTTGCCTTATGTCGGAAAATCAGATGGTCAGGTTTTGACGTCATCACATTTAAAAAGAAATATCGTAGGATGTTTGGCGAATCCAGCTTGCATGCGCATTTCTTCAACTTAAAACCTTACGTCTAAATTTAATTATAAAAACTTGCCCACATATTTCGCAGTGACGACAACCTCCCTTGTGAACGCAGCATACACAATAGCACCGTGAGTAGCATACGTACACAGCGCACACTTCTACATACCTGCATCCATTTGGTGCTTCTCACGCGGGTGTGAATTTAATGGCATTTTAATTCAGGTAAACAGTTCAAACGTAGCAATTTATCGCATAGTGCCTAAACGGATAATTGTCGATCGACACAAACTAGACATGTTATAGGCCAGGAAAATATTCTCGTTTCATGGAATTTTTTTTTAATACTGAGCTAAAATGGGGGAAATTTTAGACAAGTGCGAGTACAAGTGCATTTTGAAATACTTTAGAAGGGAAAAAAAAACGTTCGAGCGCATAGTTCAAAATGATGTGCGCGGAAACGAGAAACAGAGATATTTTTTTCTCAGCCTTATATAATAAAAATCATTAACTGGTTAAAGTGGTTATTATGTGACGTCACCGCTCAGGATATATGTCCCCTGTCTGGTCGATTATGATGGAATACGGAGTACAATGGCAGCTCTATTTGATTTAAGTTCGATGGATGTATCGCCACCGGCCGCGTTATTTTACAACAGTGGACATAATAGCGTGTATGTGCTTGACGCGCACCACGCGGAAACCCACTGAATAGCGGTGGCGCGGCGCGGCGTGACAGAAGATACGAACAGCGTTGACGTGTCGCCCTACTGAAGATAACTGAAGATAAAATTATATAAGAAATTGCATGCACACCTTACGTATTTAAATTTGTTATTTTCACTGCACGTCTCTGTGTCAGTGATTTTTCTCTCGCTACACGTCGAAATTCGAAACGCTGTAGTGTCCATCGTTGTATTTGCCGTTTGACTTTAATACGAACCGTGACATGCTCAGTCGTAACCTGTTTGAATTAACAGTAAAGCTGACGATAAGAGATATAACACGGATACTATGTTTACGTTCATGAACTTTAGACTATTAAACTCGACGTACATAGACAGATATAACTGGTTTGCTTCGTAAACAAAACGAATTTTCTATTGAAAACCACAAAGCATTTGAAGCACATGCAGAACCACAGGTAACGTAATACAATACAATACAAGTCGCGCATCTAGCGAGGAGACGCCTTCATCTGTCGACGCCCGTCAATAAACAGTTCAGTTTTATAGATTTGTTAGGTTCTGATTGACGACCGACTACACGAAAAATCACCGTTGTCGCTCCCAAATATACTGCCTTGAGTTTACCCGCTTCGTTGCTAAATGACACTGACGACCATTCCAATGTACACCGGCGTTAATCAAACGAATCTGTGTTTTAGAGTATGGCCGTATACCGGGCCGTATCAACGTGCACCTAAAATACTCAGGTTTACGTGAACTTTGTCGACTGATCGTCAACTTTATGTCTTCATCGCTTATAATCTCTCACTTGTTCAGCTTCAATTTTCATTAAAATAAGTAAATCGAGCAGCTTGTTTAATGGACGCTGTATTCACTTTGCGGCCACGGTAACGAGCGTAGTACTGAGAAGCAACAAAAGCGAATGATTCGAACTTAATGGGAATTTACACAGTTGTTAGCCTATAACACAAGTGCTATAGTAGTGCGTACAGAACAGTCTTTAAAATGTTGTAATAACTTTCGTGATTATTTCGCCTTGATAGACATGGCATAGTTAACACCTTGGAACATACCGATGGCTAGTTGGAGGGTGGGCATATTGTACCGATATTGAGATGGTGGTACAATTCAACACTTGAACTAACTATATTCCTCTTAGTGTTTTCAAGATGTTTATTAAAAATAATTGTTTATTGAATTGAAAAAATAAAAAAAATAATTATGAGAAACAAGTCGCCCTCTGTCTCATGGGTGCGGGCCACATGATCGAGGAGCATGGACAGTGACACATAAATCCAGTGTTGAGTTTGAAGAACTTATTATGGAGTAAACAATGTATTTGTTGTTTTTGGGAAGTAGCGTTGGCGCCTTGGCCTGTGTAAATCTTCTGACACCCCCGTAAAAATGGAGCCTCCTGCATATTCGTGGACAATTTATAACAGCCGTGGTCTTTATTGGTTTGCACTGAACTGTTTCTAGCTTTCGTTAAAAGCTGATTGCTGGTTTTTTTAAAGGGCCTTCTTGTGTCGAAGTTTTAACAAACGTCACGTTGATAAATAAAAGAGGAATGTCTGAGCCGTTAAATACTGCGAGCGAAAGGGTATGGTTGAACAAGGGGAAATCAACACATTACTCTTGAAGTAGAGGGCTTGGGGAATTACTTGAGACAGCTTTAACGAGTCAATATTATTCTCTTGGCTCCAGACTAAATGTAAAATCAGTGTCGAATAGTCGTGGCGCCCATAAAAACAACAACAACAGGTAATTTAGGAAAGCGTAATGCTGGAGAAAAAAAAATAAAATTGATATTGATGATATATAACTAATATATAATTCCAGAATATCGATGTTCGTTGGGAATTAAATGGATTACTAATTTTATCAATAATTCTGCATCACTCCGTGGAGACAACGCTATTGTAAGATCGTATCTTGCACGAGAGAATCGATCTGAATTAGGTCACATGCTATTAACTGACAATACTCCCTGTAAAAGATTTCATTTTCGCTTGGAATTAATTTTCGCTATTTTTTTGCTGAAGGAGTTATTCAGTGAAAATAAAATCCAGCAAATATACCTTTTTCTCTTATTTTTTACATTCAACTCACGAAAAATCAGTGAAAATAAATTCCATACAAAATACCCAAAAAGTCCTTTCAGCGAAAATTAATTCCAGTGAAAATAAATTATTTCACAATACGTTGAGAATCATTAACCCAGCATTCACGTTGTACATTGACGACGGCGTTCAAAACCGCGTTAACGCTCCGTCATCACCTATGTACATATCAAAACAACTGCGTCTGTGTGTCTTCAATCGTGAAATTTTAAAAACGCATTTTACAACTTCGATACGGGTTCGACACAAATCGTCGGATGCGATGCGAAGCTACAGTGAATATTTAATTTTAATACAATAACTATCAAACTTCAAGAAACAATTGCGAGAACAAAAGCTTACGTAGTGTGCTTGCAGTTTGGATGAACTGGAAGGCATTTCCGCCTTATCAATTGCCGCCATGATATATCAGAGCTAACAAGTCGGTTTGTTTACGTTACCTGGGTACTAAATATATAAATATCACCGACTAAATCGGCCAATTACTGCCACTAATATATAATATTCTACTCTATTAAGCTATTAACTAAAACTATTTGCATTTTTTCAAATCCCACATTCCGCTCAATTCAAGCAGTCGTTAAGCGGAATATCGTCAGTTCAAATTATCATGAACGCGATGAAAAAAAAAATCATTGACAAATTAAAACCCCCCTGTGCTTGGGAGAAAGTAACTTGAAATAATACGGGATACGAAAACTCGACATAATACGGGATGCGAAAACTCGGCAAACTGTTAGAGGACATTGACACAATCGTGCGTGTACGGAAATTCCCTACACCACGGACAGAAAGATAAGTTTTGTGAGCAATGATTTTGTGCCCTTTGATCCGTTCGACGGAATTTTACAGCGCTGAACAAAGACCGTCTCACGTCACGTGACAAATGATTAATTGGTAACAAGCGAGGTAGTAGTCAGTATGGACTGCTGAGTACAGACAATTGAAACGCAGCACAACAATCTTGAGATTTTCATCTGCGACACGTTCTGGTGAATAAATAACTAGATGTAAATAAAATGAATGGTTACCCGAGCTCGTAGCGGCCATTTTGATTTTTTTTTAAATACCGACAGCTAACTTGAAGGTGCATAGATTACCACTGCAAGCTTTCTATAATAAAAGTGTGTGAATTCTAAAAAGAAAATCATACACAAATTAACATATAGTCTTCAGTTTATTACTGAAGATCATTGATTTGACTAATTTGTAAAAAAAAAAGTATGACCACAATTTCTCAATTTAGGGTCAAAGTCAATTTTTTGTATGATGTTTATCTGGTTAAATTGAAAATACCAGTATTGCGACTATTGCAAAACACTAAAACACCTTCCATCAATTTGGCGCGCTTTACTTGACCAAACTGTTGTCAAGATGGCTGTCACTGGTAGTCTTTTACATACAGGTCACTACTTTACTTGTAATTCACGTGCTTCACAAACTTGGGGCGGACACTATGGGTAAATAGTCTGCATATAAATAAGGCGAATAAACATGGGCCTCACTGTATTCCTGATAGAATATGTACACTGTTCCCGCGCACAGAAGATCTTCCGCCGACGTTCAGAGGAGTGGGAAAATGTGCGATAAAACAGACGTCCATATTGGACATGTATTACAAAATGTATTACTAGTATATATCTGTCACCGTAACGCCACAAGTTACAGCGTGCCGTAATTTTGCGGTTTTGCACTGGCTATTTCCATCCTATCATATTAGGAAATGTGAACTCCAAATATGGAGCGATTGCGCGCATGAGCGTCGTTAATAATAAAAACGAATACGGCTGCCCCCGGGGTTTGACCGGACTTCACACGACGAAGTTCGCTAAATCTATTCTAATTTTTTTGGATTTCGGCGGCATTCCTTGAAATATCCTTGAGAGGAAAATATGTATAATAATAAAGTTATTACGAGAATACCTCAGAGTACATACTTTTCGATATCCTCGTAATAACCTCATATTATAAACCACTTTATGTGAAAAATGAAAGCGTAACACAAACACATTTATGTTCAGCTCACTTCGCGGACAGTTAACTGATACAGATATTCTATAAATGTCGCTTTCTACAGACAACAAAGCGCTTCTGTGACGTGATATGTGACATGTAATCCGTTCAAAGCGTCGATATTGTTCTGATAGGGGGTCTCTGTCAATGATGAAGATTATGTTTTTTGATATGTTCCTGTATTCTAAAAGACGAACGACTACACGACCAAACACAGTTGTCGACTTGAACGTCATTGACGAAGCGATTCCGTGACGTAAAAATGACGTATATGGGATACGTCATTTTGACGTCACGGAATCGCCTTGTCACTAGAGGGTGCGATTTATTGGAATGGCGTGCTAGTATTTATCATCTGTAGTCGCTTTAGACTGATTAATAATTTCTACTTGTATAAATACACGAACTTTTCACTAAAAATGGCGATATGAACTCATAATAAAACAATAAATCTTTGAGATGCTGTCAAAACAGTGAGTTGGTTGGTGTAAATTGTGAATAGGAAACCATTTTAAGTATTCATTCACATACTGTAAGAGTACACAAAATAACAGTACGTTGTCGTGTAGAGTTGCAACTGTATATAGTATTAACCATATCGCTGTCGATTGTCTTCTCCAGCGGGTACAACGTTCTTTAAAGTGCGGTGGTCGTCGCGCAGCGCGTGTTCGAATTTCATGTAAATAAACAATGTATTTTACACGCGTTGTATACGTCGCTATGAGTCCCATATCGAACAGGACGCGGCGCGATGACTGCCGCCCTTTAATATAGACGTTTGTGCTGTACGCGACCTTCTTACACGATTCCGCACTTCAAAGAAGTGTTAAACAAGCGATTCGTATAGCTGTACAAAGGAATTTTATTGATTTGAATTCAATAGCATTGATGTTCTTTTTATTATTTCTGTACGTTTGTGGTATTAGAACGAGTCCAGATCGTATTCTGAAAGAAGTTTATTTGTGTTAGTACTAAACGGTTCTTTCATATGCCAGTCAATACATAGCAAAGAAGGATGGCGATATTTCCCGCGTTGATTGCGTTTCTGGAACGACGTGCAAACCCCCAAATCATGTGTTGTCATTGACGTTCCGTTCACCTGCTTCATAATACCGTAAGCGTTCGTGTTCCGTCGGATGGTTGCCATAGATGCGATTTCGCTAAAGAGGTACAAGTGTTAGCGTGAAGTGGTAGCTGTCACTGTACACATGTGTGCAATGAATCACTGTAACGACACCCAAGACACAGTGACAACGTTAACCAAACCGCATCGATCGGGTCAATGGAAACATTCAGGCTGTCCTGTGGTGAATGACCTTGTTCCACCGTGCAGTGCAATACAATAGACATGTATTTTGTATAGAGTCGTCTAGAATGAAGTACACAACTCAAACTGATAAATTGTCTGTTTCCGTTGACTGCATTCGTACGTTGAAATATCACTAACTATTATAGTTTTATAGTTACGCTGTAGTAGTTGGAAGGGGTTGTCCATATGAGGGGCAAACATCAGTAACTACTAAATGACAGCAAAGGACATTCTAGCAAAAACAAAGTAAAATTGATGGTCGCTTTCCGCTTCATGAAAGTTTCACGCTAAATACAACATATTTTTAAGTCGGGAATGTTTACCTTTGTCAATTTATAAAGTACGAGTCAAAAGCCCCAGCAGCTAGCTAGGGCCAGCATCGATTAGTATCAGTTGGGTGAGAGCAAAGAAAAATTTCTACGTCTATGCAATCGCATTAATGAATTGAACGACCCTGACGACTTCAAAGTGGATAATAACGCATCAATACACGCCTACCAGGCGACATTGGAATCATTTTCTGAAAGGTAGATTTTTTATACAGGAGGCTCAAGTTCAAGTTGTTATGCCAGATTAATCCAATCTCGTGAAATAAAATATAACACGTTTTGGGATGTCGAATGATTTTCTATACACACGCAATGATTTTAGCAAATACTAAAAAAATACAGCATAATATAGTTTCCATTGCATATGATATGTATTCGGACTTATTTATTACACTCATCGTTAAAGAACGCTGGAGCCCGAAACGTCACTGTCGTAGGTACGACGATAATGACAAACAATTCAAGAAAGCCATTTGTTTCGGCATCATATCTATCCATTTTCATTTCTCCAAAAATCGATATAAGATTTTCATTTCAAATTGTCGTTAATATAGAGTGCATTTATTTTGCTTTCTCATTTGTTTTTAATTTTGTTTATACAATTCTGACAAAAAACAAAAAAACAAAAAAAACTTTAAAGCTGCATTCCTAGTTTCGATGAGTTCGTTAAAGAATCTCCAACAATAAAGTAAATTGACCTTGGTTGATTACAACACTGAAAACTGTGTTTGATTTGGTAATTTGGCACCATGAACGTCAGGGTAGGCTGGCTCTGAGTGTCCCGATATTTCAGTGTTTGCTACCAAATGAACTGACTTCACCATTTCTATGGAGATCGCAATCAGGACAGTCACACTGGGAGCCTGGGATGTACTGCATACAATACAAAATGGAAATGTTTCTTTTAAACAAAACTGCGACACGCATATGTTTAACTGATGCGTGCGATAACCAGTAAAATGATATGGATATTTGTGTTATTGTAGTTGTGGAGAGGACCAGGATAATTTTGGCTAGACCATAGACCTCTCAGGAAAGTACTGTATCTTGACATCAGTACTGCGCATGCGTTCCACATCTCCCGCTTGCATACATAAAGCGTACCTTTGCGCGAATGATACACATGATTTTAATTATATTAAAAAAATGATCCATGATAATAATCATTGATACGCACAAACTATATACGCCATTGATTACCTGTTTGCGACCTGTACAAATATATACCCCTTGATTAGTGGGCGAAGGATACTGCGAGTTATCGACAAGTACACATCGACGCTCGGTAAATGATAATAACATTGACAACAGATAGCGTCGACGGCACCAAATTGACAAATCAAACAAACGAAGATGAACCTCATAATGCACACCAAATGACTCTAATTCAAGAAACTCAATCCAGTATGGAGAATTATTTCATTGAGGGAAACGTTTTGTAGGTTGAATTTCAACGTTTATTATTTCTAAGTCGAGGAATTAAATTATTTATCTCTTTTACAGATGTTTCCAGTTGATATGACTACTCCAGGCATCCACATCGACACCAGGCATATGCCACTTCCTACGATCGTGACGTCAGAGAACGATGATCGCTTGTCAGTAATCGGGTCTATCGCCGACAAATCGCGAAGCGGCAGCCGATTTAGCGACGAGGAGAAAAATGTAGTGTTCGGGCTTTCGGGCAGTTTCAGTCGCCGTCGTCTAGGCAAGCAACAACAGGTGCTACAGGATATCGCCAAACGATGCCGCGAGCAGGAAATAGCTGATATGTCGTCAAGAATGACAACCAGTTTGAATCTAGGAACGAACTCCAAACAAGATGGCTACCAACGAGAAGTGAGCATGTACATGACTAATACGCTGCTGCGAAGAGGTCCCAAGACAACCCGAGTTGCTAAAAGCACTTCACACACGAGCTACAGTAGTCTACGTCCGGGGATCGAGAGAAGCGCCACCATAACGAATTTTCGGCCATCGAACGTGATTAGAAAAGTGCCGATAAATTACCCGATAAAGACTATGTTCCCGAAGGTGTCACCGAGACAAGTGACATATGGCGGCCTCTCACCTACAGAACTGTACAACAGAACGAAACATCTCCATAACCGAAAAATAAACGGCCCCATACAGATGGAACACTACATGTACGGTCGACACGCGCCCTGTGCACCACTGATGCTGCCGTCTCTGACTCGGAGTCAGCAACACGGGCATCACTCCTCGCCGATATTTGGCGAAAGAAATCACGATATCGCTACACTTAGAGAGGCGAAACTTCAATCAATGTCATTGATGGACAATAATTACGATGAGTGGATTGATTTGCTCAGTACGCCGCCGAACTCTGAACATTAGGACCTATAATAAACATACGATAGCCTATGCAATAAACCTTCAAACACAGTCAGAAGTTAATATTAAGACTGAGCAAACAAATCAGACTTATGAATACGCTGAATACCCCATCCTTCATTTACATATTGTATCGCGTTCAAACTTGTTTATTTTGTAGTCGAGTAATGTCCCGACAATTACATCGGAGGGGTCGTCACTTGCGCACGTGCGGTAAATGATTCCAAAACGACGACGACAACGGATGCTAAACACGCAAAGGCTTATGGGTAGACGTTTGTTTGTAAACAACGACACGCTAGCTCTATTGCCGTCTGCCGCATACGTAGGTGACGACACCCCCACTTTAAACATTCGCTACTCAGAGGTGTATATTTTATAAAACAATTCGACCTCATTACAAAGATAGGAACAATCCTTAAAAATAAGAAATCTTTTTTTCCGTCCGGGCTCTGCAACTAGCATACTCATTAACGTTACTACATGATTGTACAAATACGATAACGGGGACAAGAACGTTAACAATAGATTTCAAAATTTGCCGATAGAGGGCAGTATTGCAAATCACAACGAAGAGAGTACAAGTATTCCGTAGCATGTTTCCAATATTATGAACCGAACTTGAAGTAATTATACCCACGCTTTTTATGTACATATGCATAATTTTAGTACTTAATAGTATACGCAATGTGATGAATTTAATAAATATCGAATTTGGATTAAAACGCAGATTTACATTTGGTTTGATATAGGTCCTAGGTGAACATCGAACGTTATAGTTGGCTCTCTTTTATGTTATGTGCACGTTTCAAGTGCAAATGATGAGTGTACTTATTGCGCAGTTGACAACATAAATCATAATCAGGGATTAGGATTATGTGACAGAGCTCTGTACTACAGCATTCTGATGCGTTCTCTAGGTGTCAAACAGAAGCGTTTAAAGGGCGGTGGTCGTCACGCAGCGCGTGTTTGAATTTCATGTAAATAAACAATGTATTTTACACGCGTTGTATACGTCGCTAGGCGTCCCATATCGAACAGGACGCAGCGCGACGACCACTTCCCTTTAAACCAAAGACACCAGAAAGAATTAATTTTTAGTGTCTTTGTTTGAACGCAGTCACATATGAACCATAATAAATGCCCCCCCCCCCCAAGTCAGTGAATGAATCTCATCTTGTTATCTTGGACGCCGCCTCGTTGAGTCTGAGCCATACTCCCACTTATGTGAGATGTACTCAAATGTACCGAGTCTTGAAGCACTGCGTTTTCTGTGACAGGCAAACGCATTCAATTTGTTTGTTTACAAAATAATTGATTTTAAATCACATGGCAAAGTTTATTTAGTTTATGTACAATTAAGAAGCTATAGTAACATTTCCTTTGTGTGTTACAATATCACATTTTGAGAAATTGGGCCAAATATTTTCCATAAATTCCAATTTTGGAGCAATTCTATGGAACACATTGTTAATAGAAAAAATATCATTTGTTATGAATTTTCAAAATACAGTTTTTTAAACTTTGAATAAATTCAGATAAAAAAAAAATCACTACATTATCAGTCACGATATGTATGTGCTTAGCCTGTGTCCCCAACAACCAATTTGACGTATAAAAGCTCCGCCATGAAAACCAATGATAAAATAGTACTGACAAAATGGCTAAAATCACTAACATACAACTATAATTTTCTCATGATCTCAAGTAACCCCAACATTTTAAAGTCGTATATCTGTATTGACCGGAAGTACAAATTATTGCAAAATGAATAAATGATTTAATTTATAAATAAGCTTCTACAAGAGATACACAATGAACCAGTGGGTTAAGGTCCATATTACTGTCAGTGTTACCATGGTGAACAGACAGGAGTCAAACAAATACAATTCCACCTTAACACATACTCACAGTGTAGACTGTACATACATCGATATCTCCACTACGTTGTGCATTATAAAACTGTATTTTGAAAAACAAATGACCAAATTTTACTACACAAACATTACTATGCGTCAAACATTTTCTGTAAAACGCTTTAAGTATCATAAGTTTTTCACAATACTTTATTTTACACCAATTTCCAAAACACAGAGTTTATTAATATTCATAAATCAATTTGCGTATCACGCACCTCATCACCTCTTTTGTTGGTTAATCGAAGCGATCAACACACCCATCGCTAATACTCACGAAATATCTTGTAAACAAATCATTCCAACGCAAACTCTCATATGATGATTCAGTCATCCCAGGATATTTCTAAATTATAGTTATTGTGGCTATTCCAGCAATAAATCTAGTTGCGTTGACGTCGTTGTTAAATACCCGACATGTGGCGATGAGGGCGCGTGAAGGATATACAAGTTTGTTTACTTCGCGATCATTTTCGTTTTTCATTTTAATTTCGTCGTTTTCGAAAAAAAAAAATGTAAGCAAGTTTACATAGAAACTAATAGTAAATAATCTTTAAAACTTACAAAATGTCCGCCATTCTAGCAATTTTAACCAGCATTTTCGTCGTAACCAGTGTACGTCAAAGTAAAAACATAGCGAAATGTGGAAGTGTTTTTGAAAAATGTCGTTCATTAGGCAGAATGTTATTTACTATGAATAAATAGGTAAAATAATACTATTTCACAAACTTGAAATTTGCCAGCACAAAATATATTGCTTGTTCTGCCTCAGGCTGCAATGGTATGTTCTCGTGAGTTAAACTACCTGTGGATCTGTGATGTGCGGCAATCAAAATAATAATTTGGCATGGATTTCACTGTTTTTTTTTATTTTTTGAAGTTTCTTGGTGGCAGTGTTTCATATTCACGCTGCTTACATTTTAAAAATTACATATCCGTTGAGGCACCGTGTCGAACCGTCTATTTTATTAATATGTATATGATTAGATTGCAGAGAATATGATAATACGACGGACCAACCAAATAAACCATCACCGGAATATTGTCTGAAGCGCTTTTATGGACTTCCAAAATGTGACGAAAAATATTTTAAAAACTCACAATACAGGAAGTAGTACTCTTGCCTCTGTTATTGAACGGTACGGATCTGACAATCTTACTAACGAAGGGTAAGCCCATATATTTCGAAATTGATATTTTCGATAGAAGTATGGTAGCGAATATTGGTGACATTGGACATTTTGATATGTTGGCCTATTATGCACGATACAATTGCCGTGAATTCGAGGCTCTGATACCAAACTGAATGCAACTTACTTAAGATTCTACGACATCCACTAACGCAGGTTAAATCAGCCTTTGTATATTATCATTCTTTACGCACCCCACAAAAATGATATTAACAATATAACACGTGCGGGAATACAAAACACGAACAGCTGTTCGACTCTGGCCCGGACAGACCGTTTAAATTTGATAATGACGGTCACAGAGCAAATACGGAAGTGGAACAAATCAGATTTGAAGCTGTATCGGTATTTTTAGAGAAGTTAGAAGAAAAGAGAAAACAGTACGGTCCATGCTTCAAATACGATCTTCGTGAATTCCGAAAAAGTCTAAAGGAAGTACATGTAACAGAAAATACTCTGGAAATGACTATGACTTCGAACAGGTGACAGGCAATTTACTGCCTTAAGCAGGGAACGGCGAAAGACACATTCATCTGGAAGTAGAAACAAGTAGTCGGAATAAATTTAATATAAAGTTGCAATTTTTTGGGAACTAATGAATTGGTGATGATGCATTCCGAAGCTAAAAACTTGAAAACAGTATTTACGATATTCACATTGGTATACTAATGATAACTGCAATCACGAGGATGACATTATCTTGTGCGGCTACCACAGTTCCAATAAGAATAAACGTGTACCACTGAAGGTCACCAAGCTAGCTATCCTAATGAAGAATTGGCTCGTCGTAGTCAAAATAGTAGGGCATATAAAAGAAGTTTATAGGCCATATTCGATGCCATGTGGTTGCACCCTCGATAATGTCAAACTCATCGATTTGGCTGACGACTGTTAGGCCAGTATTTTGTTTTTATTTGGGTATCCTAATAATCTTCTGCTTTTTATTATTTTTTTCTGCACAAATCAATGGATATCATAATTCTAAATAATTATAGAAGTTTGTATATATATTTCATATTTAATTTATCTCTTTTTTTGCTCGCGCATCTTTTCTAATTAAATTGTAATATTTCAGACGCAGTCACATGGGGGGTATTGAAATCAGCTATCCTGGCAGCCATAGGTAAACACGGTACTCAATTCATCCTTTTTTTCAAAAATAAATGCATAGTAGATCTGTTGCCGATTGAAATTATATTAGTGCATCGAAACTGTTGAAGTTGCTTGGTAAGTATGTCTATTCAACACTGCTATCGAAAGTGTGGTTATTTACCGGATGACTTGTGTGATTTCCTAAAACAATAATTTCTAGGTCTATATATAGTTGACCTGATTCAGGGAGTGATAGTGGAAAAAAGAATCTAGCGTTTTGCGGCTGCCAGTTTTTGAAAAAAACAAAAACAAATAAAAGATTACAGTTATGTTATTTGCTCTGATACTAGATGTAGTTTTATGATTGCTCATATATATTTGTAATTCACTTTCAAATTGTTAGAAAATTTGTACACCAGTTGCAGGGTAAGACGGAGCTCGACTTAGAAGAGATCAGTGGATGCAACTATTCCATTCCATGCCATACCCTGAACAACAGAATCTGAGATCCGGTCAACGCCGCGTGGACATATTTAAAGTACACCGTAAGTACTAGTATTTAAGTTTTTGCCGGAAGTGCGATGGAGAATATAGATACAGTAATTATGTGCTTTCACTTCGCTATGTTTTACAGATCTAGTGAAACACGTCACCAG